GGGCCTATCGCCAGGAGACAGTGAGTTCTAGTCCCACCTTAGGCAGGAAAGATGGCTGGGTGGCTTTGGGCCAGTCATGCTCAGCCCAGCCCACCTGACAGGGTTGTTGTGAGGAAAGTAGTAGCAGGAAGGTGTGTTGGATCTGTTTGGGGCCTTGAGTTACTTATAAAAATAACAAGAGGCAGGATAGAATCAATACATCCATCTCTGATCCTGGTTCCCAAACGGCGCAGAATGTTTTCGGTCTACACATTCCAACCTCTCAAAACCGCATACCAACCTGACCTGAACCATCCTCCAGCTTGGCCACCAAGCCATTTTGACTTCAGAATACTTCTGATAACCCATTTCACCCCTGGATGAGAGTGCAGCATTTGAGGTTGGAATATTTTCCCCTCTACAAGCGTTTCTGACCTCTTTACGGGCATCCTGCTTAGTGGCCTGCCATTACAACGCGTTATAATAACTTGAGTTTTCCAGGGGAAACTTTTAGGAACTTTTAAACTTAAGTTTATTATACTAAGTTTGCTTCTGGTGTTTTTTCCCCCCTGCAGTGATTCACTTAACAACTGCGGTCATTAAATGGGGCAAAACTCAGTTAACCAGTCTTTTGCTTAGCAATGGAAATGTTGGGGCCAATTGTGTTCAAAAGCCGAGGATTACCTGTACATGAATCCATGGTGTACCCTTGCATGATACTGGACTACGTTTCCCAGCATTCTCTCTATATAGCTGAGCCTGCTGGGAAATGCAGTTGAATCACATTTGGAGAGCTGCCTCAGTTTTAAACTGCCTGTTTCTGTTTAAATTGAAACCTCTGAGTAGCTGTTTGAAATAGCAATAGCACTTTAGACTTATATACCGCTTCACAGTACTTTATAGTCCTCTCTCAATCAGTTTACAGAGTCAGCCTCTTGCTCCCAGCAATCTGGCTCCTCATTTTACCCACCTCGGAAGGATGGAAGGCTGAGTCAACCTTGAGCTGGTCAGGATTGAACCGCTGGCAGTGGTTAGCCTGCCATAGCAATAGCACTTAGACTTATATACCGCTTCACGGTGTTTTACAGCCCCTCTCTAAGTGGTTTACAGAGTCAACACATTGCCCCCAACAGTCTGGGCCCTCATGCGAAGCCTTCTCCTGGCTCTAAGGAAGTATCCCCTTCTGCTACAAACAGCCAGGTTGTGGTTGCGGGGAAAATAGGAGGAGGAAAAGAGTATTATGTACATTTTCCACCTTGAGTTATTTATACAAATAGTAAAAACGGGATTTAAAAAGTCAAATAAATAAGCAAAGCCACAGAGGGGTGTCGCGGATGTGTTTATTAAAGCAAGTTTGCTGTCCTGTTTTTTCCATTTAAAAGGGGAAAACAAGGTTCCATCATATAAAAAAAACAAACAAAACCATCACCATCATGTTTTTTGAGATGTTTTGAAGGATTAAGACATTCGAGTAAACAAATGTTTTTTGCATGGATTCCTTTTGAAAAGGAAGGCTTTCCTCGAGCTTCCGGGAGGGCGGAAATAGCCTCCCGGAGCTCCAAAGGCTCTCTGGAAGCTGGAAATGGACCCATTTTCCGCCCTCTCTGAGCCTCCACGGGTGCCCTGCACTTTCCCGCATTCAAAACGGGCCACGTGGGGATTCCAGGGAGGGGAGGGGCTGGGTGGGTGGATGGTGCCAGCCCGGAGTGGGATTTGGGGGTTCTCCGAATTGCACAGAATCTTAGCTAGAGGCTTTCCCGAACCCCCAGCAGCCCACCCCTGATCCGAGGCCTTTCCCTCATATCTATACCCCAACACTGCCCAAATCCATGAAAAGGGTGGGGCTTGGAGCATTGGTGGAATTTTGGTCACTAAGCGATGCAATTATTAAGTGAGTCATCAGAGGATTGGATCCAATTTTATAACTATCTGATGTCAAACATTAAGCCTATATATATATATATATAGAGAGAGAGAGAGAGAGAGAAAGAGAGAGAGAAAAGAAACAGACATCTTGCGATCTGCGGAACTAAAATTATATTTACTTCCTAAGCTTTTGTCAGCCTCTGCTGACATCATCAGAGTATTAAGCTACCATTACAGAGATCTCTGCCTTTATATATCATTAACCAATTTAGCCCTTGCATGCGTAATAGGCCCTTTCAACCTCCTCCGCCTTCCAAGGGCCTATTATGCGTGCCAGGGCTAGCTAAATTGATTAATGATATATAAAGGCAGAGATCTCTGTAATGGTAGCTTAATACTCTGACGATGTCAGCAGAGGCTGACAAAAGCTTAGGAAGTACAATAAATGTAATTTTAAGTTCCGGAGATCGCAGGATGTCTGTTCCTTCTTTTGCATATAGAATAATGAAATGAAATAAAACAAAATAATAAAATAAAAAGATAAATAAGCAAGCATGCAAGCAAGCGAGCAAACGAATCCTGTGGTCATTCAGTGACCCACGTGGTCATTAAGCAAATCCAGCTTCCCCAATTGATTTTGCGGCTGGGAAGCTGGCAGCTCGCGGTCGTGGTGCGATCCCAGCACAGTTCACCCCGTCGTAAAGGCGAGTCAGTTGCCAAGCGCCCAAATTGCAATCATGTTGACTGCAGCGGGCGAGGCGACCATGAGGACGGGGCTGTAAGTGGCATTTGTTGTTGTTGTTGTTGAGGCCATCGTGAGTTTGAACCGTCCTTAAATGAACCGTCCTAATTTGAAGTCCACCTGGACATACAGATTACAAAAAAAAAAAAAAAACGGTGCTGGGAACTCCTAATAGAAGTTGGAGTTGCAACAGGAGAAGTGCCCAGTGCCCAAGGACTACCTTGCCACGTTTCCCTGTTTCCTTTTGTTTCCTCCAGGAGACGAGAAAGACACGCGAAGACAATAGACATTGCCCAGGAAGAGGTCCTTACCTGCTTGGGCATCCACCTGTATGAACGGCTGCACCGCATCTGGCAGAAGCTGCGGGCCGAGGAACAGACTTGGCAGATGCTCTTCTACCTGGGGGTCGATGCTTTACGCAAAAGCTTTGAGGTAGCAGCTCTCTGGTTACCTTGCTTACCTGGAGGGGTAGAAGCAGGAAGTAGGAAAAGCACTCCGGTCTATGGAATTCTGGGATGAACTGAATTCAATTCAAAATTGAATTCAATTCAATTCAATAACCTTTATTGTCAGAGTACAACATGTATAGGACGACATTGGCTGAGCCTCACTTCGTGCATCCCCACCCCCCCCAAAACACAATACAACTCACAGTGAAGACAAAATCCCTAAATAGGGGTGGGGGGGAGATGTCTGTCCGTGTCCCTTGGAACAGGGCTGTCCAAACTTTCTGGCTTGGACTGGTAGCATCAGGGGGCAGGAAGTGGGAATGGGTTCAAGAGCAGTAGCACTTAAGACTTGTATACCGCTTCACAGGGCTTTACAGCCCTCTCTAAGCGGTTTACAGAGTCAGCATCTTTTTTTTAATTAATATTTTTTATTTTAAATACAGATAATACAAACATAATACCTATGCATTTCAATGCAAAAGAAAAGAAAAAAGAAAAAAATACAAATATTACAGTGCACCCCACCGCCTGAGACCACTTTTTCCTTATAATTCTTCTATAACAATTAACAGATTTACTATATATTCCAATTGTGCCCTTATCCTTTTCATATCGACATATATTCTTGAGTAGGTTTATTTCCTTTGCCTTTCACCGACACTGATTTCATAACCACCACCCGGTAGTTCATTACAATTGTTTGCTTTAATCATCCCTTTTTTAAATTTAATTTTTGTTGTTAATTTATCATTTGTTGCCATACTCCAAATTTCATTATACCGCTCATTTCTTTGAATATCCCAATTTTGTCCCCAATATATAGCCATCACTAATCTAGCAGCCATTACCAAATTTACAATCAATTCCTTTTATGTTTCATTTATATCACATTTTTCCACCAATAACAGTAATACAATGACATATCTAAATTTACATTCAAAAGTGCATTAATTTCTCTAAACACCCTATCCGATATTTTTTGTGCATTATCACAATCCCACCACATATGCTTATATGTTCCAACCTCTTCCTTGCACCTCCAACAAATATTTGTATATTTACCATCTATTTGATTTAATTTATGTGGTATTAGGTACTACCTCCATATCACTTTATATCAGTTTTCCTTAACTCTAACCGACATACTCTTATATGCTCTTCTATTCCAAATATTTTTCCAATCATTATCATTTATTTCTCCTAAATCTGATTCCCAAATTAATTTTAAACCTTTTGCCTGCTCTTCTAATTCAGTTAATATTCTATATATTTTCCCAATTCTTCCTTTACCTATATATTCTTCATTCACCTCACATTCTTTTATAATCATTTCAAATTTTGTTAACTATCTTTCTCCTCAAACCCTTCTTCCCCTTTTATCCATTTCTCTAATTGTATCAAAGTCAACCAATTTAATTTAATATCTGATAAAACGTTCTTTAATTCTTGTGTTATATTCTTTATCTTGTTCTTCCAGTCTTCCCATCTATATATCTGATTTTCTTATAATTTACTAATCCATTCTTTCAATTCAATCTTAGGGAATATCTCCATTTATTCCATAATCCTATCAAATTTTTCAAAAAGGAATTTTGAATCCTAGCAATTTTTAAAATATCCTTTTTAAACCAATATGTTACTACAGGTTCACCTATTTCCCTTAATTCTTTCAGATAACAGATAATCAGAGTTGGAAGGGACCTTGTAGGTCATCTAGTCCAACCCCCTGCCCAAGCAGGAGACCCTACACCATTACTGATAGATGGGAGTCCAATCTTTTTTTGAAAATCTCAAGTGATGGCGCACAAGCTGTTCCATGGGTTGATTGTTCTCACTGTCAGAAAGTTTCTCCTTATTTCGAGGTTAAATCTCTCCTTGTTCAGTTTCCATCCATTATTCCTTGTCTGGCCTTCGGGTGCTTTAGAAAATAGCTTGACCCCTTCCTCCTCCCTGTGGCAGCCCCTCAAGTATTGGAAGACTGTTCTCCTGTCTCCCCTGGTCCTTCTCTTCCCTAGACTGGCCATGCCCAGTTCCTTCATATGCTTTAGTCTGTTTAGATGATCTAATCATCCTGGTTGATCTATATCCCTCCATATTAAATCTCTAGTTACTGGTATAATATCTGGGATCACCTTTAATTGATTAGCTACCTAATAATTTCTAACTTTTGGAAGACCCAGCGCACCCTTCTTTAATGGTTCATACCATAATGCTCTACTTATTCTTGCTCTCTTGCCTCCATTACAATACACCTCCAGCAACCTCTGTATTTGCTTTCATTCTTGATCCAAAAATTTAATTGGCATCATCCATAGCAAAAAAAAATAATTTTTGGTAAAACTTTCATTTTTACCCCAAACAATCTGGGTCCTCATTTTACTGACCATGGAAGGATGAAGGATGAATCAACCTTGAGCAGCAGAAGGTTGATCAAACTCCTGGCAGTGGGCAGAGTTAACTTGATTCTTTCGTCTTCCAACTTCTACCTCGTGTTTCTAACCATTGATAAAACCTATTCCATGTTAAATAGTATTCCGTATCTCCTTTATCTTTTATTTTTAGTGTTTGCCTGTCCATTTCCACACAGTCTAGTATCTTCCTTATCGTTTCATCCTCTAAACAGGGTGTTTTCATTCTTCTGCTGCACGTATACAATTCTTGCTCCAGTCAAAACATGTAATATTAAATACATTGTCCCTTCGTCGTAGCCCTCTGAGGTGATCCTTAGTAAAAACAATTCTGTCCTTTCACTCTTTCAAAGTCTCAATATAGTTTTTATATCGTGGCGACCGAAACCGGATGCCCTAAGGGTAGGATACAGGGTCCCGGTGTAGGGTTAGTGTCAGGATTTCGGCAGTTACTCCAATTAAATCATGAGCCTCAAGCCACACTCCCAAAACTAAAGAGGATTTATTTGAAGTTAGCATTCTATGTCCAGCACTAACCTGGGCGTAGCCAACTCTGCGATATGTAATTCACTGTCACCCTTGATCCTGCTTTGCCCCCTTCATCCAACGAAAATCCATAGCCAAGAGTCATCAATCGTGCTCTCCAATTAGATTTTTTTTCGGGGCAGAAGCTTCAGCCATCAAATCAGTCTTTGAAGAAAATAGGAATGGAATGTACTTTCGATTCCACACTGCCGGTCTGCTCTTTGAAACTTCCCCCCACTCCTTCTTTCTGCTGTCAACTATAAAACATATATACAAAATGTTTTATGAGTCGACAGTAGTTTTAGGGAAGGAGCAAAACGTCCCCTTCGCTCCTGCCCCGCTGATCCACTCTTTGTCTAAGCAGATGGCGGTGGAGAGGGTGCAAGGCATCAGCCGGCTGGAGCAGCTGTGCGAGGAGTTCTCCGAAGAGGAGAGGGTGCGGGAACTCAAGCAGGAGAAGAAGCGCCAGAAGCGGAAGAACCGGCGGAAAAATAAGTGCGTCTGCGAGATCCCGGCTCCTTTGCAAGTGATGGAGGAGAAGGACATGCGGAGCCAAGAAAAGGTGAGGGGCGCCGGACTCCTGCATGGATGGATGGATGGATTGCTGCCTGGTTTTTGAAGTGGGAGAAAGGGGTGGGACTTCCTTTTAAGCTGTCTTCTCCTTGAATGGGAGGCTGGGGGCAACAACGTGGCGGGATGGAGGTGCAGGTGTCCCGTGACTTACAACCGTTGGTGGGGTTCAATTTTTTTTTTACTACCAGTTCGGTGGCCGTGGCTTGGTGGGCGTGTCAGGGGAAGGTTACTGCAAAATCCCCCTTCCCTCCCCACCCCATTAACCTGCTTTCCAGCTCCGTTCTCCTGTGCAGGGCAACCAAAGGAGACCCAGCCGATCAGCTGGGACTCAATGGGAGGCAGAGAAGAGATGGGGTTGGCGGGGCCAGTCAGAGGTGGGATTGGCCGGTTCTCTGAACTACTCAAAATTTCCGCTACCAGTTCTCCAGAACTGGTCAGAACTGGCTGAATACTACCTCTGCTTACAACAATTCCTTTGACGCAAGGGTGTCAAACTCCGTTTCATTGAGGGTTGCATCAGGGTTATGTTTGACCTCAGGGGGGTTACTTGGACTCGCTGTCCAAGCCTGCCACCAGCTCCGCTGGCCGCTGGCGGGCCACAACAGCCACCTTGCTTGCACCCGCAAGCAGAGCGTGTGGCGTTCACATTCCTTTTCTGTCTCTTTGAAGGAAAATTTCTTGGAGACCAGCTGCACAGCCTGCGGCAGCCCGGAAGAGCGGAGCAGCTGCGTCGAGGTCATTGTGACCAATGCGAACGCTTCCTGCACTTGTCCCACCAGTGGCGCTTTACTGCGCTCCCCTAAAATAAAGAAAGGTAGGTCGTGCCAGCTCTTGGCCGAGGTTGCTTTGAGTTCTGGTTAAATAACCAAATTGGGCTGTTTATGTGGGATCCGCGGTGCTCTCTGAGTTTGGTGGCTTTCGTGCAGACGTCTCATGACCCAACTAGGTAACATCATCCGTGCTAGAAGGGACTGGGGTTTGCACTCTGTTTATATATAAGTGGCTGGTCCGATCAGCGTTGGTGGGCGCATTCTTGGTGGTTCCTAAATAGGCTGTTGTTTTCTGATGGTTTGTTTGAAATTGGTCGTTCCTCGTTTGGGTTATTGTTTACCCTGAACTTTGTTGTCTTCTTGTGGACGATTCATTCCCCAACTAGGTAATATCATCAGTGCTACAAGGGAGTGGGGATTGCAGATGGGAGGAAAAGGAGCAGGAAGGACTGTAGGGGCGGGCTGGGTGCTTTCTGAGCTTGGTTGTTTTCTTGCAGACGTTTCATGACCCGATTAGCTAACATCATCAGTGCTATGGGTGGAGTGGGGATTGCAGACAGGAGGAGGAGAAACAGGAAGGACTGGGGGTCCTGGGTGCTTTCCGAACTTGGTTGTTTTCTTACAGATATTTCATGATCCAGCTAGGTAACAGCATCAATGCTAGATAATGCAAGCAACTTGACATTAAACCAGGTGTCCAATTCATCAAACGTTTTCTACGCCCGTCTTATAGTTGCCAACAGGAAGAGACGGGGAGGAAGCGGTTTGAAAGTGCAGTGCAGCCGTTTGGAATTGAAAGTGCGTTCCATTCATATTTTCTTCAGAGATTGTAACTAGGCGACTGAAGTTTCTGCTGTGCAAAAATCTAATTGGAGAACACGATTGATGACTCTTGGCTATGGACGTGTTTCGTTGGAGAATAGGAATTATGATACACCCAGAGGGGTGGAGGGAAAACCAGGGTCAAGGGTGACAGTGAATTACGTATCTCAGAATCGGCTACACCCAGGCAGTGCCGGACATGTTAACTCCCAATAAATCCTGTTTAATTTTGGAAATTTGGCTTGAGGCTCATGATTTAAATGGGGGTAACTGCCGGAATCCTGACCCCAGGATCACTTGCATAATATTGTATATAACGTTTGTGCTTTTTTGTACCTAAGTGCCTCAAGAAAGAAGCGCGTGAGCTTCTGGCAAGTCAAGAAAATTAAACAAAAGGAAAAGATAAAACAGTAACCTTTGTGGCTTTTCGCTCCTTCCCGTTTCACAGCTTCGAGGAGGTTGAGGCTTTTGTTTTTTTAATTTCAATTCACCGCAGTTCAGCGTTGTGACCAAATTCTCAGCTGTGGTTTATGTTGACTGTGGTTTGTTTGGAACAGTCTTAAGTGGGTTTTTTTGTTTTTTAAATCAAAGCTCGGATTGTCCAAGCATTGTGCTTGGCTGGTGCAAGCTGCAGTGAATCAGAAACTGAAAAGAAAGCTTTGTGGTTCCTTGTGGCCCTGCTATGGGAGAGCAAAATGGACTTGGGGCGAGGGTGTAGTCTAGCCCTGCTGCCATTAGGATGAAACAGGATTATGGAACCTGTGGTTCTCCAGATTGGGTAGATTGGGGCCCCATGGGTGTTTTACTTGTGTGTTTAATTGAACATGCAGCAGATTCAAAACAAATCCAGCAGACTTTTCTGCCAGTGGATACTGCTGAACGTTGACATACACCATTACACACACACACACACACAAGGCAGTTTGGGGTAGTGGATAAGGTGCCAGGCTAGAAACCAGGAGACTGAGAGTTCTAGTCCCACCATGAAAGGAAGCAGGGTAACTTTGGGCTAGTCACGAGGAGACTGTGAGTTCTAGTGCCACCTTGATATGAAAACTGGCTAGGTGACTTTGGACCTATCACCAGGAGACCGTGAGTTCTAGTCCTGCCTTACACACGAGAGCTGGCTGGGTGACTTTGGGCCAATCACCAGGAGACCGTGAGTTCCAGTCCTGCCTTACACACGAGAGCTGGCTGGGTGACTTTGGGCCAATCACCAGGAGACTGTGAGTTCTAGTCCTACCTTAGACATGAAAGCTGATGGGTGACTTTGGGCCAATCACCAGGAGATGGTGAGTTCTAGTCCCTCCTTAAGCATTAAAGCCAGTTGGATGACCTTGCCACTTTTAGGTTACTTCTAAAAATAATAAAAAAGGCAGGATACACATAAATAAACCCAAATAAATAAACATACATGAAACATACACAGTGGTGGCCAATGTAGATCTTTCAAACACATGGTTATCTTCTTACCGCCTTAACCGTTGTAAAATTTAAAATTGTATGTGTTAGGGCAGCGGCCCCTAGCCTTTTGCGCACCAGGGACCGGTTCCGTGGAGGGAGGTAATTTCCACGTACTGGAAGGGGCGTGGCTTCACGGGCTGGCTGCATTCTGCGGAAGGGGGGTCTTCCTTTGTTTGCGTGACCCAGTTTCTGGCATGCCACCGACTGGTGCTGGTCCACGGACTGGAGGGTGTGGCGCCCCTGCGTTAAGAGACCTGTGGATTTCCAATCCGGCGGGTTCTTTTTTTTTTTTTCACCATTACCAGCCTGTTTCTTCGGCCCTTTGTCTGAACAGCGCTTAACGTCTCTTCCAGGTTTATCTGCTCACTGTAATGGCAGCGATTGTGGCTATTCTTCCAGCATGGAAGGCAGCGAAACTGGTTCACGGGAGGGATCGGACATCGCTTGCACCGAAGGGATTTGCAACCACGATGAAAATGGTAGGAATGCTATAAAAGGTTTGTGCAGCTACTTTTATTTTTCCTGGGTTCCCCCCCACCCCCACCCCTTTGGGAGTATCTTCCAGAAGTCAAGACTGACTTAAAAGGCCCATCAGAAAAAGAAAATGTTTTATGGGAATGTTTAACCCCTTAAAGGTGACCATGATGTGGTTGCTGTATCAATCTAGTTCAGGGATCTCCAAACTTGGCCACTTTAAGACTTGTGGACTTCAACTCCCAGAATTCCCCAGCCAGCATGGCTGGCTGGGGAATTCTGG